TATTGCTCTAGTAAAGCAGAGGTGAGTAAATAGACACTTAATCATCTGTCTGCCTGCTAACGTTGCAAGGACGTAAGGACAGCATGAGAGAGCTGCCAGAAAGCTACAGCAGTGCTGTGTGTGGAGCACAGAGGCACAGATGCAGTTGCAGGCAGAGGATGAAAGAATAGTATTTTCTGTAGCAGGGGACATCAGTGTGCATATTTAGACTTCCAAGTCTAGGCTGGGCTCAAATGCTTGACCTCTTACTTATCTTGGGCTGTCCTGCCAGCGACTCTGTAATGGGTTTCAGACTTATCCACATCCAGTCACATTTTGAAAATACCTCTTTTGTGCTAAGCCAAAATGTTCTTTCAGCAAAAGTCAGTTTCAGGAATCATTAACCTGTATTTAATACCTGAAACGGTCCGCATTCCACATTACCTGATGGACTGACTGACTGGCTGGATGTAAACAAACATCTGTGCATCTGCCAGCCAACATCAGTTCAGTGCTTCAGTCAATGAGTCATCAGAGAGCTAGCACATGGATTTTTGCAAAGTGACCAGCTTCTACACAGGGTGAATGGACGACCCCATAGCTGACTCTAAAAAACTTTGTAAAAAAATGTAAAAAGTGTCAAACTTTGACAATATAGCATGAAAAAAGCTTAGCAGTGTCAGACAGAACTGTGAATTGCACACTGATCCAAGACCCCTCATAATTATCTGGGAACTTTTCTTGTCAATCATGAATGTGATAAATGTAAATTATCGCCAAGAGCTGGTTATTTCAGATTGAAACAGGCTTATCAAAAGACCTAACCCAAGTTCTTAAATGCAATTTTAAGAGCATTTAATAATTAGATGTTAGTTGAGATTGAGATTGTGTTATTACTCACACCACCTTTCACTGCACAATTATACCGTTCTATACCTCTAGGTGCCACTCATTTGATTACAATTCCACTGTAATTGAGCCAGCGACAGCTCATCTCTCAGTGGGAGAGGTCTCATGTCTTCACTTTGTAAAGCTTTGCCAATAATGCATATGTGTGGGCAACACACAGTCAAGTAAGAAAGGAAAAACAAAATATAATATGACTGAATTTAAAGTCAAGTTTAATTCCTAAATATCACAAATGCAACCAAATGGATGTCAAGATATAAATGCTACAAGGCATGACTTAAAACTCGAATTCAGGGCCTTTGGAGCCAGATTTTGCTACAAATATATATGTTTATAAGATTAATACAAATTTATGATCTAATCAACATGGCATAAATAAACTGATATATAATAATGCATAAATCAAGTATGCTGCCATAATCTTCATAATTTTCATGGAGCCCCCATACATTTTTAGGCCTAGGTATGTTACATCTACTGAGTTATACTGTCAGTGGGGTTTCTTCCTTTTTAGCACAGCCTTAATGCAGAACACTGACCACAGAAGTTTGTAACTGGGCTTGAGTTTAAATGACTTTTCTCTGCATCGGACAAAAGTTTTGTGTATTGTTTAAGAAAATGGATAAATCACAAATCCCTTTAGTGCAATGCCATAAAAGCAATTATCTCTTTCAAAGGGGGCTTAAAATGACACTCGATTCATGGGCACATTAAAATAAGAGGCTGGTTCCTTTTTGCCCTTACTTGCACAGAGATGTTCGATTCCAACATTATCTTCAGTTGGCTGGATAAGCCTTTTATATTCTTCTAAAGGAGCGAATGAAAATCAATGGAAAAAATGTTTCACATGATTCATTTTTTTTTCCCCAGCTCAATACAGTCTCTGCAATTTCGCCAAACAATTATGAACAATCTAACAACTCCAAAGCCATAGCCCCTCTTGGCCAATAACAGAGCAAGATTTCATGCAGAAATTTAAGGATACCTAGCAGGAATTGATTGTCCCTTTCTGTTCTGCTGCAATAGCTTGAGAAAAGAAAAAAAACATAAAGTGTACTGATCAATCTAGTCAACTAAGAGCAACACTTGTCAATGTTTCAGGGTTTACAATAGGGGCTTTGTGCTCGCAGAACCATTAGCTCCGACGGACCTGCCAGACAAGACATTGATCGGCAGTGTCGGCTAGCTTGTAAATGCATCAGTAATCATCACAAAAGGCAACAAGTAGACACATACAGTAACTCATGACTTGACAACACTTACAGCTCTCATCATATACTGTACAGCCAGCCTTAACTGTAAGAGCTGAAATTCCCTAAGATGATGTCAGAGAGCAAAGGATTCTTTACAGACACTCCAAATACTCTTGTATGCTACAATTCATAACAATATAACAACAAGACAAAGCACTTCCTTCACATGTGCTTAATGCACTAGGTTTGAAAAAACAGCTGTGGAGTTCATGAGGGTTTAGTAATGAGTTTTACCTTTGCTCTCCGTCAATAATGCTTCAGGGTACAAGCAGGAGTGTCGGAGCATGCTGCCAAAGGACTGTTTATTAAAACCGACTCCGGATTTTGCGCTCCACAGTTTTGTCAGAGCGTTAAAGGTGTTATAAATCTCTCTCCTCCCATTACTCTCGCTGTAATCACAAAGCAAAGTGACAATGCATATGTTTAGCATTATCTGCTCTGGTAGAGTAATACAGAAAAGCCTCGTTGGTGGAGGCAAACTGAGTAATGATGATGGTATGTTTCTCCCATCGTCCCCGCATCTTGTGTCGGCTGGCAAACACCTGCCATAGCTGCTGATCAGAGTCATTGATCAATTCCACTCAATGCTCCAGCTAATGGAGAGCGCAGCTGAAGGCCGCTTCTCAGAGGACCATGCACAATCCCGCAATGTCTTGTTTGCCAAAGCAGTGTACATTTTGTATTTCTGAAAGCAGCAGTCAATGAATCTTGATAATGCTGGAGCTCAGAGCACATAACTCACATTGATAGCCCTTATATTGTGCCAGGGGGTCGTAAATCCAGACCTGCAGACATGAATATGCATTGGCAGTCGACTCTTGTGGCCTGAACACATAGGTGCAACAACACAAATATTCTGTTCGTCACCAGCTCAAAAAATTTATTTTCTTTGCTTCCTTCGCTTTTTTTGGGGGGTGGGGGTCTAGTTTTCCTTTTTTGTTTATTACAAAAGACAAATGATATATTTATGGAATGTAGTCCAGTTTTAACCTAATATACGACACTGACCATTCTGAAATGTACAAATTGAAATGCAGCTTTTTTCATAGAGACAGTGAAACAATTCTTTGATCCTTACATCGCATCACAGCATGTAGCAGATAGTGCCAAGTGGACAGCACAATCTGCAAAGCTAATTCTGCATCAAAGCGTGCCTGTTCTATTGCTGATTATTGTGTTATGGGAGGCCCAATGTTGTTACGATCATCAATCTTGTCTCTCACAAGCAGATGGTCACATGAAGGCTGAGGACTACAAACGACACTACGAGTGCTATTTGAAATGCATCATGACAGTAATAAAGTGCATGTGTCACGGATGAAAATAAATACACTTATCATTCGGTTTCATTGCATGGATGGAGCTGCTAGCTCCAAAGCTTGGAGAGAGGAAAGGGGGGCTGAAGAGAGGAGTGGTGGCATGCTCTCTCTAAGTGATCGCCCTCATGTTTCACCCACCGTGTGTGGCTGACGGCTTCACATAAAGTGTGAGGAATGGACAGACAGATAGGCAATAAGCAGTTATTTGGGCCTAATGTACTCATTGACACAGATCGAGTGTCCCAACTAAAGACCATAAGCAGCGTGCTTTGTCAACAGCTCTGTCCTTCACAACAGGGCACTCGTTCTCTGTCATGGCCTATTTCTTCGTTTCAGAGCGCAGTCATCTGGAGTGAATATTTGTTCCTGGAAATATACTGATTTGTTTATAATAGAGTTTACATGCTTGGTCCCCTGTCTGATGCTAATGGCCTGTTTGAACATGGGGCACTAGCACAGTTGCAAATGCAGCCTTTTCTAACACTCTGACTTAACCAAAACGTAGGATGAGTCGATCACCAAAACTTTCAGTTTTCCGTTATCCATTTAGAATGGAAGAAAGATATAACGGTGGGGTATCCCCAGCAGACAGACAGACAGACAGACAGACTGATAGATAGATAGATAGAAAGAAGTGTACAGGGCAAGAAGAGGAAAAACTCGAGACTGTCTTGGTTAAAACTGAATCTTGAAATGTCTGAGAATGTTTGGAACAGATGATTTATCATTGCTCCAAGTTACTTGTGTAAAACACATAATCATGTTTCTTCGGTTCGATTATCATGGCTTTTGAGGGTCCTCTTGGGTCTCGGTCTATGAGAGTAACGACGTGAAAAAACGAGTCATTTCAAGCCCACCTGTTTCTCTAAAGGTAAACAGCTGTGTCTGGAGGAACGGTACGGGTTAGTACAGTTCTGTCGTGATCTACATCCTCCCAAATACGCGTGTAAATAAGCTAATGGGGTCTAAAACCGGACCAAATCAGAGTAGCGCTGTCTAGCCGATCGTCTAACTTGACGGGAGACTCAAATACAGACATCTGCCAGACTGCTACAGTCTCCGTGCAGAGATCAGCGAGTGCTACATCGTGATTATTTTTCATTTGCTTTGCTGACAGTGTGAAGTCAATAGAATTGCCAGAGAAATACCGTAGGCTCGATCCCCTTCCCTATTTCCACGCTACTCCAACTCAGTTTGGTGCGAAGTCTGAACCAACCGACAGATCACAGCAGCACTAGGAGGGTTTGTCAGTTTGTTTTCCCACCCGTTTTCCAACAAACCCCGTCCACTTTGCTATGATTGGCTCGTGGTGCGCAGCCTCCTGCTCTGTGATTGGCCACTAGTTCATGCACACATGCACTGCGGATATTCGGCGTCCCAATGGACGACCTGCGTGTGAGCATGAATTAGTAGCCAATCATAGCACCGGAGGCAGCGAATGACGAGCCAATCACGGAGCAGGAGGGCGGGACATTCCGCAATACGGGCGGGAAAAGAAAAAAATCCCACGGTAGGAGGGGAACAGAGAGACTCCTGCAGGCTGATAGTAAGAGCCAGCGACCGCAGGTTCAGCAGCGATCCGCCTGCATGTAAAGAGCTGGAGTTAAATCAGATCTGATAGAGCTGCACCGGGACTTGAGCGTCTAAAAAAAAGACAAAAGCAAAAAATACTGGAAAATGTTTGGCCACCTACAATGAGTGCAGAAGGCAGAGAGACCCTCATATGACACCCACGAAGCCAATTTTGACGAGCAATTGTGAGACGACTTTGGATTCCTAAAAAAGGGAACAATTAAGAAAAAAAAAGAAGAAAGTGGATCCCACTCAGTAAGAAAGATGAGAAATACTTGGTGGACGGTCCGGAGTGCGAGTTTGGAATACTGGACCACGGTCATGGTGTGCCTGTTTTGGATTCAGTGCTCATGTGGGATGCCTCATGTCATACGAATAGGTAAGCAAAAAATGTTTGATGGAGACTGGCTCATGGACACACTTCACTTCACGTGTCATTTCAGTCTTAGTGCACAGCAGCTGTTCTTCGTGGTTTTTAACATAGGACAGTGAACAGTTCATGCTTTAACACTTGTGTGCCCTGTTGATGAGCTGGACTGAATATTAAACGTGGTTCGCTGATTTACCTGCTTTAATTAGCCTATTATAGGCGCCTGTAAGGACTGAGTGCAACTGATTGGCGTTTAATGACTACATGTTACATCCATATGTTACACGAAGGCATGTGGAGCCTGAACGAGTCTAAGTTTGTGTGTTGTCATTTGAAACTGACGTTCGGTTACTAATGCGCCACATTTGGACAAAACAGTGAGGTTCTTTAGTCATGTCGAACAACGAAGAGAGCGGGATGTCACTTTTAAGCACGGAGTAGGACGTGTCGAGGTGATGCGCGTGTGTGTGTGTGTGTCTGTGCTCGTGCGTACGCCTCACTTCACACTGTGATAATTCTGCACAACCTGAAGTTTGGAGCATCGCATACCGGGGCAACTTTAAAACCTGTCCTTTTCCGCCTTCACAAGCTTTGCAATTTTGGTGGAAGGTCCAGTATTGGACGACTGTTCTGGAAATCAAAACTAGAAAGGAAAAGGGGCGAAATTTGTCTCGTTTGGAAAGTGACGAGGCGATGAAACGTAACAGGATTCGAGTGAGGATCAATAGAGCTTTGGCTCAAGACTCATCACTTGTGCCCAGAGCAAACACTGAACATGAGACACTAACCTCTGAACAACACCCCCCAACACACTTACACACACACACACACACACACACACACACACACACACTGCTATTCATGGGTTAACCTACCTTTTGGCAGATGTTTCCTCTGGCCACATTATTTAGTCAGTAGTCCAAGATGCAGGATTAGTTTTGCTTATTTGTATTGTCTAAAGTTTTTTTATTATTATTATTATTTTATATATATATATATATATATATATATATATATATATATATATATATTTTACTGTAAATGCATTTCAACATTTTTTGCAAACGGACTAAAACAAATGTACATATATCTTCTTAAATGTCTAAATCTTACCCTGTTACTGTTCTCTGCTGGATGGACAGGAGGCCTACATTTGTGGGAAAATGAAATTTCCAAAGAAGCCCTTTTATTTTTAGCACCTCAGTTTCTCTCATTTGTGGATGATTCGGTGCCTGATGATTGATGGCTGTGTGGATGACTTGTATCACATTGTGGTGAAGATTTGTGATTTCTGACACAGCTCGGATTTGCATTGTTGTTTTTTTTTGTTGTTGTTGTTCTTGTTCTTATTGTTGTTGTTTTTAGTGGTGGAGCTGTAAACTGAGACATTTTAACAGCAGCTGCTTTTGTATTTTAGCAGCACGTTCAAATGAAGCCTCAAATAATATGTGACAGCTTTTGTGATTCAAATGACACAGGGGTGAGGCGAATATACCTTGATATGTAATGTTGCTCCTGCCTCACAGACACATAGACTGATGTGCTTGCACATTCACACAATTCTAACTACAACCATCCAGTGTTTACTGGTATTTTTGTTTGTGTCATCAGCGATAAGTGTGTATCTGATGTAACTGGTAACTAAGCTGTATATGTGTTCTTGCTCGTGTGAGCTTATGTCTGTGTTAATTTTTCCCCTTTACATATTTACACACATTTGTTTACATACCTTGCATGTACATAACTGTGATGCATATACAGTGTTTATTACAAACTAGTTACCCGCTTTACACTGAGCTTTAAAGCCATTCACCCTTGGCCACTAGAGGGCTCTCCTTGAACTCCGGCATAGACAACGGCTTCGCTACCGCTCCACTCACAGGATTGGAACCACACCAGTGAAATTCATTAAAGTGGGTGCTGTCCAGAGAGGAGAAGGGAGGGGCGTGTGTCTCCCCAAGAGGTAGCCTAAGCACTTCTACACCATCTGTGTAATGGTGGGCATCCAGCGTGGACTTGCCTCCATTGATTCCACTGTTTTTACAATGTGCCTCTTGGAGGCCAGATGGCCGATCAAACTCACTCTGCAAGAATATACATGTCTGGGGAAGAACAGTTCCTCCTGTGCCTCTGTGCTATTTGTTGTAATGCCCTTTTGCTATTCGAGCAAAGCGGAATCTGTTTTTCAAAAGCTCAATGTTTCTGCGTAGGCTCCTGCGCTGATTATGATGGATGTAATGAGGGCGTGTTTGGCAGCACGCTAGTGCTTTGCACTGAACTGATTTTCGACCACTGCGACGCAGCACGGAATATATGATTTGGAAGTCACTTGTATTCATACTGCTTGTTTCAGAAACAAGACAGTTCTGTTACATTAAATCTATGAACTACTTTAAGCCTTCAAAATGTTAGTATAAAAAACAGACATGTTACGTAACCTGCTTAATGAAGCTGGAAATCTGAATTAGGAAAAAAGTAACATTTGAATTATAATATGTCTAACCTCTTGTTTGTTAATAGATATTCAAGTGTCTAAAGGAGATTTCTCCATAAATCCTGCATCTGGTTTTAAAGCTGTATAAGCCTGCATAGTTGCAGTTGTCTCATTTTCTGTACAGGCAGACGATGGATGAAACTAATTTATGGCCTTTGGCCCCTTTTCTATTTCTGAATGAGGGAATTCAGCGCCAGACAAGGATTTATTGGATAATCAATTGCTTTATCTACCTAATACTTCAAGTGCTTCATCATTGCCAGTTAATCAATCCGGCTCATGATTTTATGTCACTTTTGTTTCGCTTGCTCCTTTGTTCAGAGCAACAGTTGGCCTTCTTGTATTAATTCCCTCTCATTTTCCTTTCGTTGAGTCTGTGCATTTTGCACTGCATTGAGATTTGAAGTCACTAAATCGGCAGCAGATATTACATAAAACAGAGACACATTTATAAAGGCAGGAAATATATAATGTATTTTCCCTAAAGAACGACCACTGTCATATATAATATTTTGCACATGTGGTATGCATGCTCTGCTTTATTTGTCTTAGTATTGAATGTGTGCTAATCTTCACTCAGGGTATTTTCTATGGAAATGCTTTCATTTTATAAATACAGATGTCAGAGAAAGCATCGTTGTGTCTGACTCATAACCCTGTCCATTCCAAGGGCACTGTGTGGCCTACTATGCGGAGAGATTAAAAAAAAAAACAGGAAGGAAGACATACATTTATAAAGAGACTGACAACAGCAAGTGCGACATCGTAAGTTCCATCAAATTAAGATGGCCATCAATTGCTGAGCAGAAAATGAATATTTCATTTTCATGTAAATTTAATCGGTGAGCTGACAGAAGCGGGCGTGTGGTGAATCCTTTCTGCAGAAGCAGGGTCTGGAGACGGGTCGCTGTTGAACGCAGGCCAGCGCTCGGCCACTTTGATGTGGGCTGCCCAGGTCTCCGTCGTGTCCGCCTGGAGAAGGACCTTACATGGGACTGAGATGGAGAGCGGTGCTCTGACCTGGACAGAGGAGCAGTACACAAACTCGCAGAGGTTCCTCTAGAGAAAATGACTCAAACACGAAAAAGCCCATTCACACAAATGGCAATTTTCCAAGCTAATCTTGCTTCTCTATCTTAACAGGCTAAATAGATAGTAGACTAACAGACAGTCAAACGCAACTGCACATTCACAGCTGTCTGATTTTTCTGATGCTGTTCTGCACATCCGTTTCATTAACAAAGTCAGCACACTTGTGGCCTTGCTATTAGCTTCAATGTAGTTAATGAGAGACAGCAGATGTTGGTATTGTTCTCTTGAAAGTGTGAATCGAATGCGCTGTGGCCTCTTCTCTTATGTCAGCGGGATATTTTGCCTATACTGGCACTCGGTGCTCCTGCGAGACTTAACAAGACTGGCAAGCTATCTGCCATGACACACGCACACACACACACACACACACGCACACACACGCACACACACACACACACACACACACACACACACACACAGGCATGCACACACACACACACACGTGTGTGCTTTGTTGTATGTTGCGTAGTGTACACAAAACAGTGTAATGAAATGCAAACCAAGTCATACTTGCAGACACACATCACGTGCAGTAGTGTGATTATTTTTTAATGCAATAGCAAATTTGGACCCTCTCCACATAATGGCTTTGAAGCTTAATTTGAAAATCTATACATTATGTAGAGAGCAATTAAATGCCCGTGAGCCCACAGAGAGTCTATCTTCTGAAACACATGCAGGCATAGTTGTATGAATAGTGTGAATCTGTTGTTTATTAGGCAGAAATGGTCCATGTTCTTGTAGACAGATTTGTCAGTTAAAGGGGAATTCTTCCAATCTTTCAAAGAAAGTATTCATGAATAAATTGTTAAGAAACAAGTAAACAAAGTCATTCAGTGTGAACTGTTGCAGAATGTGCCATTCTGGAGAAAAAACATGCTGAGTCAGAATTGTTCACAGTGGTGATCGGAACCAGACATCTGATGCATTTCATGGTCACAAAGTCCTCTCACAGAAAATTCTTACATTAAATAGTTACAGATATGCTGCCTGATGCTTGACACATTGTTATGATGTTTTCAGAAAGTTCTGACCTAAAAATATTTTTTTTAAAAGTCTTTCATGGCGGAGAGCTACATGCAGGGTGATGTGAGGCAAAGTAGTACCCAAAGAAAACTAGTTTCTTTCAGATTTTACCATTATCAACATTACATACAAAAACTACATTACATGTAGTTTCACTTATTTGGCATAGTAAAAAAAGGGTTATAGACATTGTGACCCCGGTGGTGGTGATATGAAAAAAAAGTTGGCAAGTTTATCTACAATTCATTACAATTCATATCTACAATACCATTTCATCCATTTCACATCAAGCCTCTATGTTCACATCTCAAAGATTAAATTATGCAGAACTGCTGAAAAATTGGTGGAATTCCCCTTAAACAGTCCTTCTGAATGGTCAGAGACTTCCCAATTGCAA